TAATACACGAGTTTCACAATTTGAGTTGAATTACTGAAATAAATGAACTTTTCCACGACATTCTAATTTATTGAGATGCACCTGTAGTTACTAACCAGGGTCTTAAAGAAAAATGCCACATGGCGACCAAAAGGGGACTTAAACGTCTTAGACACCACTAGGGGGCTGTAGAGTCCTAAAACATACACTAAAAACCAGCTGTGTCCATTCATAAACTGGTTCATTGATAGGGGGACAAACTGTCCGTGTGGATAAACTGATAACTTAAGTTGAAAGATTTATGTGTGACATCATCACCAGTGAGGAACCGAAAGATCCGTGTTACGTTCCCTTGTCCAAGTTTTAGAAAACATGCGTCTCATCCTATTGTTATTGTTATTAGATGGACAGATTGGGTTTGTTCTGACGGCGAACTTAAACTCTAGTGGCGCAATCGGTTAGCGCGCGGTACTTATACAGCAGTACAAAGCAGAGCAATGTCGAGGTTGTGAGTTCGAGCCTCACCTGGAGCAGTTTTAGGGCAATATCCCTTCTGTATCAAGGTAACTTACACAAGGCATTGTTTGCGTTCATGGCTACGCATGCAACTAAAACAGCTTCATTTCAGTGATCTAGTTATGCTAATTCAATAGTATTCAATAGCGGTTGCTGGTTTCTGATTTTATGTCATATACAGTACTAAAAAATATTATATCCTGTTGAATATATCTGGCTTACATTTATAGATAAGGGTTCCAACTCACTATACTGGAATATAATTAATGACAAAGAATGCTTTGAAAGTGATATTACATTATAGCTATTTGTTTCTTTTTACTTTAATAAAATAAATTTTTATTACATCTAAAATTGCACGCAAATTGATTGTGTATTTAAATTTCTCATATAGTGCATTTTTTCATTCATTTCTCACTCTCACTTTTCCTAATGTGTGTTTGTTTAAAAACTTCTTAAATTCCCACTTACAAACATTTAAAGTGAAAGAAAAGCAGGGCCAGCTGCTAATGACTTCTATGACCAATCACAGTCATTAACTATACTACACATTCTTTTAAACATTATTAATCACACATGCATGACTTACTACCAGTGCAGTGCTTTTTGTTCCTGGTCATTAATTATTGTTTGTTTGGGTCATTTGTGCACTATAGTACAGATCATGCTTTTTCCTTTTTTTCTTAATCAGTATATCCACATCACAGAATTCGATGTCAGTGTGAACATTTGTTTTTAATGCATGCATTGAATACCAAACCAGTGTATCACTCAATACTACAGAATAGTTTCGAAAAGAAAACATTTCTGCAGACCACAGTATTTAGAATCTAATAATCTGGGGAACATGTGCCTGTTCCAGACCTGCAGACATCGCTAGCCTGCTTGTGCATTCTAACTGAAAAGAACCATAAAGTGGGAATTGATCTAGACCAAGTTACACTAGGATTCTGATGCTGAATCATTAGTCCTCAAAATGTCACTTTTCAAACAGGATAAAGCATGTCTGACTTCAACAGAAATATAAATTCTAACACTTGTAGAAAACAGTCATTTGAACACATTTTTTTATTTTTATTCTTTATTATTCACCCTTATTGTGTTCAAATAACAGAGGAAATATACAAACGTGACTGTGGTTTTAGAGGTAACATTTACTTAAATTTTAAAAACAAAAAATAAAGATAATTTTGTCCTTCCCTGAGCCTGAATTTCTGCCATCTTATATCAAACTATGTATTTTTTTGGCACGATTGCCCCTCAAATGTTGAATGTTATTCTATGTGATAATTGATCCAAACAGTTATGAAATGTGTATCCATGGAATTAATAATGACGTGTTTCATTTGAAATCAAAACAGACATTATGCCAAGGATTCTGACTTCCTTTCGTCTCTGGAAAAACAAAGCTCTCACGAGCAGATGTTTCAAAACCAAACACAGGTTTGCACTGTTTGCATCATCAAATACTTGAAATCTAATTAAGGATGAAATGAGTGGAAATGAGATGAGTTCAAACAACAAAAGAACCCGGAGAAAAAAACTGCAGGGATGAATGACTAAAGCTGGTTTTCATATTTAAGAGGTTACAGAACCTAATTGCAATCAAAAGCTAATACTCAAGCGCTGGGTATTTTTCTTTTAACAATAAATGAAATCCATAACTTGATAATACTGACAAATGAAGTGCCGTTATAAAATTTATAGGTGTATTTTCTAAACTATTTTGCAGTCTGACCACAGTAGCTCTCACCTCCATTTGGTGACATTCGCTCTTGCCGCTCACTTCTCTTCAACACTCTCCTTGTCTGCTTCAATGTCTGGACTTTCTCCAGCCTGCTTTCAATACCACATGGTGTAATAGATCTAGCAGACACTTTTGTGTGTTGCAGTACCCCAATCAAACTGATCTGTGGGGTGAAAGAGTGCCAAGAATATGTGATATGCTCAATTGTACCAGTTCATCCCTCAATTAAGTTTGTTGTACTTGACAAGCATCCAGAAACATCAAGCCTTAAAGCGGCATGCTTTGTAGCATGGGTACACACAAGCATACACCTGGGAAACAGTCCTCTAGGGAAGTCATCAATCAGTTTGCTGGGACTGCTCTGAGAGAGTTTCTTTTGTTTCCCTTTCAATTCAGTTGTTCTTTTTTCATTCGCTCCCCTTGCCTCACCCTTACTCACTATTTCCATATGTGTCAGCTTTAGATCCTCTCCAGAGAGGGAGCGCCTCGTTCCTGGGGTTACCCAAAGTGTTGTTTCAATTGCGCATTGAACTATGAATTGACACCCGCGAGGGTACAAGTTCAAGATCATGGTGCATAACCAAAATTGCCTTAGGTGATATTTTCTCAGCTGAAACGTTAGAAGAAAAAAAAAAGTTTGCCTGTCTTTCTTTGCGCAT